CACTGATGACTAATGGCCGGGCCAGGGCAGACAATGAATTTGGGGCTTGAAAACTAACAGAAACCATGCAGTACTTTGACAAATGGGCTTTCACAATTTCATTCATTGAATAACCTTTAAGCACAAAATTGGCTGAGTTCTCTGGGGAATTAGATGACATGTTGTTGGACGATGATGTAAGTATTTTCTTTGGTAATTATGACTCTTATGCAAAATGCAAAAGTGCCCTATAGGAGGACACGACCATAGATACGACAGATGCAGATGTGGAGCTCCACACAATGTTGCCTTTCAGGAGGGGGCTGGAATGTTCCAGTGCCACCTTATTAACTATATGTAATGGCGTGTTCATTCAGTTTCTTTAGAGAGCCACAGATTTTCTGGGACGTTTGTCGGGTTGAAATATACACACGTGGAACAAAAAACACTTTCACATTAAAAAAAAAAAAACTTAGAAGTGGTCACGAGTAACTAAGAAGTGTGGCACTGAAATACAGTACATTTGGAATTACAAGTGGAAAAGGTCTAATTTTAAGGGGTTGGGTGAAGGAAGAGTGCTTCAGAACAATTGAGACACCACGTGAAGTTTGCACTTAGGCAAGCATCTAACATCCCATCTCTTTCAAAAGGGCTCTCTTCCCTCTTCCCCACCTAACGAGCCCTTCAATTTACAAATAATAATTTTGGCAATTTTTAAAGAGAGAACGAAATATCCGAAGTGTCTCTAAATTAACAACACTACTTACTCCAGACAGCATTGCCTTTAGCAGCTTAAACTTAAGAAAAGGATCTTAAAACAGGAAGCTTAGTGAGCTCATAAAACTGTTGTTGGAGCCAGGAACACATAGCATATTTAATCTGCAAACTGTGGGAGTCTACAGTGATTTCAGTAAGATCTGAGGCATGCCCTCAAGGTTTGCTGGGATCTGGGATTAGGGGGTTGATAAGAACCTCTACTGCCCATGGACATGTTTTTCTTCTGCAGTTAAACACAAATGCATAGAGACGTTTGACTGCTGCTTGGCGTTACTGCTCAAGTTATATAAAAGCTTTGCAGCTCCTTTTGCTGTCAATATATCAAAGTTTAAAAAAAATCATCAAAGTGTGAAATTTCATTTAAAGTCTTCGCCAGTCTACAGCTCTATTTCACAGGCCCATCACATAAAAGTAAAGATGAAAAATACACTGAAAGTACTTGAAAAAGTTTGCAGCAGTACCCCTGCCCTGTTGTTGTTTATTCTGTCTCCCTTTATTTGCTTTGAAACTCGAACAAATCAATTTTCCTCTCGGAAAATGACATCAAGTGAAGGGCAGCATCTTCTACTAGCTTTTAATGAAAAGACAACCTGAAGTCATCATGAGAGTGGAATATTTTGCTTAACAAATTAAATTTACACACATACACACACACACACACACTTACACACACTTCCTCTCTAGTCATTTCAGCGTTGTAATTGCTTCTCATGATATAAGTTGGCAGAAAATTTCTTGAATCTTCCAAAACAAGTCAGACCGACTATGGACTATGAAAGCCAGCAAAACTAAAACCTCCTTCAAAGCACTCTTTAGCTGGGGATTTACAACAATTGCATAAAGAAGAAAAGTCTGACTTTTAAGATAATCTACTATAGTCTAAAAGCATTAACATTCCACTGCTAAGGTTTTCTTGAGGATTTCATGACTCAGTGATTCACTTCTCCTTCAAGACTGGTTTTCCTTAGTCCATTACTGTCTCCATATAAGTGAGTGCATGGAACAATGATCATTAAATTGTTTCCTTTCCTACACTTCCAAACTCTAGCCTCAAAAAGGTGGGGGGGGAGGTCTCAGTAAGCAGGATACCTTACATCCAGGGAGGGACCTCAGAAAGGCTAAGCACAGAGGAAGTCTGAAACCCTTCCAGCGTGCAGGTAATTAAGAAAAGGGGCCAAGAAACAAAGGAAAGTCCAACTTTTAGGCTCGGGCATCAAGTTGATAAATTAATGAGTCTTTCATTAAATAAGTAATGAAATAACTCAACAGAGCCATTTTTCATCAGTACTGAATTTTCTCATTTCTGTCTGTAGTCCTTTGTAAATGAGGCATACGGTGAAAGTGTGTTTATATCAGGGCTCGATCAAGGAATACACACACGTCAAAGGTGCTGGGAAATGGTAGGTATCTGAGTTGGACCAGCTAGCCCATGAATAATAACACAATCTATACCTTGTAAAGTGCTTCTGCATGTGTGAAATTTCACTAGACACCACTCACATTGGACTCCTCCAGGCATCTTAAACCAAAGCTCCCCGAGGCTGACTTTAAGAATTATAGACCCTGAAAGGATCTCCCCTTAGGCAGGGAGTTTCTAATTAAATAGCTTTTAGTATAAAATAAACTCTCTTCTCTCAGTAAGTATGCTATTACAACTAATTTAAATGTTATTTCATGTTTGCTTTAGGTCTGACTATAGTCTAACTGGCCAAAGCATCTGTGTACCACGTTATTAAGACCAATATTTCCTAACGTAAACAAATTCTTTAGCTACTTCACACAGTTTACATTGTTAAGACCAAGCACCGCAGCTTTAATATTGCCCCTCGACTGTAATACTGTTCTGCTTTAGAAAAATGAAGAGATTTCGAGGTTGTTTCACTACTTTAAAACAGAGCATTTTCTTCCTTCAAAATAATCTTGACACATGTAATTAAGAAACTGTCAGACTATTATTAATTTTTAATTTAAAACCTAAATGAAATAATTACAGGAATCAATCAATAAGGCACCTATTCAAATTACAGAACAATTACATAAATACTCAGAATTAATACTTTAGGCCAATTCTTGACGATTTCAATCTATACTATGCTAAGACATCAAACAACCTAAAAAGTGTAACATGGAAACGATGAACAGTTTCTGCCTTAAACAGACCGAAATGAGATCATTTCAGCTGGCCATGGCAGAGGCCCCCACCAGCCATGCCCAACACACTCAAGCTGGAACCCTTTTTAAAAGTTAATTTATTTCCACCAGACACACATTTCAGGATGGGGGAAAAAAATGGCCTCATCCAAATTTTGGGCAAAATCACATTTGGAGGGAAAAGCCTAGTTATTGTGAATTTCCAGCAGACTGCTCTGGAAAGACTAATTGGGGAGAGAGGAAGGAGGAGAGGAAAAGGAAAGCAGAAGGTGTTTTTTAGAACTAATAATACCCGTCCAGATAATGGCACTGCCCATGTCTTTGCACAGAGGCCGGCCCTCCATACCTCCGGCTAAAGGGCTCTTTCACTTGGAGATGCGGACAGTCCATCATTTCAAATTGAACTGGCAGCTGGAAAATGTGGAACAGCTGGCAAAGAGCTGGGAGAAAATGTTTTACATAAATATATGTACATATAAACTGGCAGAGGGCCACAAATACTGTACCCAAGGCCAGAATCCATTCGGCACCGCACAACAGGGAATGAGAAGTTGGGGGCGGCAGGAGGGAGATGCCTCCTTGATCCTCTCTCTAGCGGGGTCAGCAAGGGAAGCCGGGGTCCAGCCCCTCTCCGGAGGGCATCTCCTGAAGGAGGTGCAATCAAGGACAGGAGCACAAAGTTCAGGGAAGGATAAAAGGCCAGGGTGTGCGCTGGTGCTCTCTGGCATCTGGCAATCTGCTTAAAAGTCGCTTCACAAACTCTCCAAGTTTGGGGTAAATATTTACTCCCTCTCGACTTCCTCCCGCCCATTTTCCCTCTGCAACTCCAGAAAGTAACTGTTCCCTGCAGAGCGATTCATACCCAGCTCTGGCCTGCGAAAATGCGGCCTCCTGAATGACTACTGCACGGGCCACGATTACGCACCCCCGCACTCACTCCCTGCAGCTTCTAACGCGCTTTCATTTCTTTTCTTTTCTCCCTCTCTCTCTCTCTCTCTTTTTTTCCGCTGTCCCTGGAAAGGAAGAGAAATAAAAGAATCCCAAATCATACACAGATGGTACAACTTTCACTTTTCCTCTCCGACGACAGCGGCGCGCCCCTCCGCATCCGCGCACACCACACCCCCGCCCCCCGGAGGCGGCGCGGGCTGCGGGCGGCCCACGCAGCGGCGCTCCCCGCGCAAACCCACCTCGCCGCCCGCCGCCGCCTGCGCCCGCCACCCGATGGGGGAGACGCAGCCGGACGAGGGAGGGCGCCGGGGCTCCGGGCGGGGAGCGGGGGCGCGGCTGCTGCAAACTTCGTCCCCCTCCGGGATGGTAAATTCTCCGGTCCGTCTCTGGGCAAGGGAGCTCCGAGGAGGAGGACGCGAATGCAAGAGCTTAGCTCCGACGCCGCGCGGGTTGCTCTCCAAATCTGGGCGCCTTTTGACAGCCATTTTCATTTCCTCCCGCTCCCCGCGTCTGGGACCCCCCTCTCGACCCCGAGGCGCGGGCGCGGCCGCAGGAGCGGGCTGCCGGGTGCCCGGCCCGCGGAACAAAGAACTTCGGGCGGGACGTACCTGCGGCGGCGACGGCTGTCAAGTCCCCGAACTTCCCATAGACCCGCGTCCGAGGCGCGGGCGGGCGGCTCCGGGCTCCGCGCGGCCGCGGGCGGCTCGGGCTACGGCGAGCGGCCGGGCCGGGCGCGGGGTGCGCCCACCGCGGGCATGGTGCGGCGCGGGCGGCCGCCGGGCGCGCGGGGAGGGCGGGCGAGCAGCGAGGGCGAGTCCGGGCGGCGAGTGTGCGCGAGGGCGAGTGTGCGAGCGCGCCGGTGCCGGTGGCGCTGCCCCTGCCCGCTCCCTCCCGCTCGTGCAGCTCAGGCATCGGTTTCAGGGATCGTGTAATCCGATCCCTTCTGACTCACAGGCCCTGAGTGACAGTTCTGATTTGGTTCACCCGCGGGAGGGAGGGGAAAGAGAAAGAAAGCGAGCCCCCAACGCATTCCCCTCCTGACATCCAATCGACTTTCTGGAAGAAGGTCCCATCCCGGCCGGGCCGCCCGCGCAGGGTGGAGGAGCCCCCCGCCCCGACCCCGCGCCTCCGGCGCTACTCACGGGGTGGAAAAGTTGTCCCTCGGCTCTCGCTTCTCTCCCTCGCGCTCCCTCCTTTCCTCTTCTCCTCCGCTTCCTCCTCCTCCTCCTCCTCCTCCTCCCCGCGCTCCTCCTCCCCCAAGTTTTAACTGAAGTTGCCGGACTCTCCCCTCTCCCCCGCGCTCCCTCTGCCTCCGCCCCCGCCCCCGCCCCGTCCCTTTTCTTTCTGCCACTCGCCGGCGCGGTGGGGACGCGCCGAGCAGCAGGACGCCTGCCGCCGCAGGGGGCGAAGTTGGGAAAACTTGGAGTGCTGCTCGTCTTACTTTTGCTTTCTCGCTCCTTCCAGGCCGCGCCGGGGCCCGCGCTTCCCCGCCCGCCGGGTGCCCGCGCCGGGAGCGGGTCCCAGCTGCGACGCGGGCGGCGGCTGCGGCGGCGAGGAGGCGGCGCGCAGGCCGGGGTCGGGGGCTGGGGCTGGGGGTGGGGGGGGAGCCCGGACGCCCCGAGCCACGCGCGCGCCTCTACCCGCCCTCTGCCTCCTCCGCCTCCTCCGCCTCCTCCGCCTCCTCCGCCCCTCCCGGGTCCTCACTCAGACATATTCATGCCTGCTCCTCCTCTTCCCCCTCCTTGACCCCGCGCCCGCTCGGCGCGCCGAGGCCCCACCCACCCGGTGAGGGGAAGGGGGCCCGAGCGTGATGTCACGGCCGCCCTCCCCGCCCGCGCGCGCGGCCCCGCCCGGGCGCCCCCGCCGCCCCTAGCCCAGCGCCCCGCGCGCCTTGTTGCGTCCTGTCTGCTCCCATCGCCTCCCACCCCGCCTCTGCTCTCCTTTCTCTTGCTCCCAGTTTGGGCTCCCCTTTCTTCTTTTAAGGCCTTTCTCTCTGATCACACCCCGCATTGCTCCCCCCCCCACTTTTACATTTCCCCAAGCCAACCCTGAAACTCCCTTGCTTGCCAGAGGATGCTTTTGGAAGTTCAGGGTTTTCCTCTCCACCGGACTCATCTGCCCTTGGGGCCAAATCTGGGAAGTGGGAGCTCCCACTACACAGCCTACAGTCCCCATGGGCCACTTCATAAAAGGACACAAAAACAAAGACCCCGTGGCTTGGGAGCCTGGACGACAACGTGGTGCTTTCCCCCGAGCTACAAAGTGTCCTGGATTTATTTGCAGCGGCCCATACTAGTGAAATTTATTTTCCCTCCTTCCTCAACCGGGCAGGCTGCGTTCCTCTGTTCCCTTTGAATGTACCCAACCTAGACCTGTAGCTGAAAAAAGGAATTGGCGGCGACGAAGGGGGGTGGGGTGGGGGGAAAAAGAAAGAAAAGAAAACCCTGTGACATTCCAAAATCCATTCTTCCCGGGGTAAGCGGAGAGTCTACCCCACCCACCAGCCGCCCGCCAGCCATGCAGGGAGCTGAGGGCACACTTGTGTTCACTCGCTGAGCTGCTTGACTGAAGGAAGAACGTGGGTGGGTGAATGATTAGCTATTATGATTTGAAGAGCATTTTGAGATTCAAATGCTTAACTGGAGAATTTTCTAACGAAATTGATGGTGGTATTCACTATTTGTTTCCTGAGACTTGTGGCTTATCTCAAAGACTAGACCAAAGGAGACCCTGACTTCAGCTTTTATGGTAGAAGCTGGAGATCAAGCAGGGCGGAAGGTCCTTTTTAGCCATTTCTTTTAAGATTCCTCTCTCTATCTTAGCACTCTTTGGAAAAAATATATAAATAAATAAACCACCATTCACTCATCACGCAGACCCCCCCCCCCCGGGGGGGTGTCTCAGGATACCTGGGTGGTGGTCCCAGCTTCCCCTCACTAACTGGCCTCAGGCCCAGGCCAGGGAGTATTCTCTGAGGCTCCGTGGGCCCTGAGTCCATCTGTGGGATGATGATAGGAAAACCAGGCCACAAACCTCCCAGGATGTGTGTGGGTTTGCAATGAGATAATGCATGTGAAAGTAGAAAGGGACACAAATGTGTAAGAATTATTATCATCCTCTGCAACTGCAAAGAACTGCAAGCTATTCTTTCCCATGCAAACTCCTCCAGCATCAGTCACAATTTTTTTTTTTTTTTGTATTCGAGTACTGCTTCTGCCTCAATCACATGAATGCAAATAGTACATCCTGATAGCCTCCTCTGTTCACCCACTGGCAAAAAATAAATAAAAAGAAGAAAGACAGCCAATAAATCAACAACTTGAATAAACTAGATATTTTGACTTTTACTTAAAACAGCACATTTTGGATCATGAAGATCTCGATTCGCACTTTTCTGAAAGACAAGAACAAAGAAAAGGCAGCTAATCTCTCTCTTTTGCCCATCGGAATAGGGAAAAAATAAAAGGGAAAGATGCTGGCTGTCTCCTGTGCGGCCCCATTTCTCCACTTTAGGTCCTTGGCGGAGCCTGACCGCTCTCCGCCTTAGTGGTAAACATATAAGTGGGCACATTTTGCAAAATAGTGGAGTTAAAAAAAAAAAAAAAATGATTTGCCTTAGTGTGAGTTAAAGAATGCCATAATGCTATGACTTTCTATTTTAACACAAGAACTCTTCTTCCCAATGAAATCTTCTATGGAGTCCTAAAGTATAAAAAAAGAGAGTAACTCCCGTCATAATTGGGATGATAGGGTCTCAGAGCCCAGCCTGCTTGCCTTTCTCTTTTCACCCACCCTTTTTCTGCAGGGGCTCCTAAGACATCTCAAAAAATCCCAAAACCACGCTGAAAACACTGGAACCTGCGTGTAATGATGAACAGGCACTTACAGATGTGCTGGGCTCTGAGGTTGCCCTTCCTCCATATCTAAAACTCCACCATGGTTACATTCATTATTGCTCTGTCTCATCAGTTCTCTTTTCAAATGCAAATATCCCGGGAAATTTTAATATAGTGAGTCTTCAAAATGATTAAGCGTGTAAGACAGATTTTTTTTTTCTTCTTTGGCAAAAATTGGATCAAGTAGGAGACTTGAAGATATTGGTATTTGCTTCCTAGGGCTGCCTTAACAAACTACCACAACCTGGATGGCTTAAAACAGCAAAAATCTATTGTCTCATAGTTCTGGAGGCTAGAAGTCCCAAAATCAAAGTCTCAGCAGGGCCTTGCTCCCGCTGAAACCTCTAAAGAAAGATCCTTCCTTGCCTCTTCCTAGCTTCTGGTTGGTGTGTGTCAGTCCCTGGCATTCGCTGGCTTGAAGCTGTTTCCCTCCTACTCATGCCTCCCTCATCATACGGCATGCTCCCCGTGTCTCTCTCTCCTCTTCCTAAGGACATCAGTCATACAGGAGTAGAAGCCCACCCTAGACCAGCATGACCTCATCTTAACTGAGTACATCTGTAACAACCCCCTTTCCAAATCAGATCACATTCTGCTGTTCCCGGAGTTAGAACTGCAACATATCTTTTTTCTGGAGTAATTCATAATAAATTGAAAGACATAGTTGTGGGGGGGGGGTGTTAAGGATATGCAACGAGAGGACAAAGGATGGGCCTGAGAACAAATCCCAGACGCTCCCCTGCATTTCTTTGCCCTGTCGTGTGTCCTGTGCACAACTACCATTCTTGCCCTTCCTTACCGCTGTAGCTCTTCCATCTCCTCACAGTGGTCCCCAATTAATTGTTGGGAAATGCCAAAGGGATATGTCATGTGTACTGAAAATCCCCTGTCTGCAAGGACAAAATTCCAACTCAAATTGGCTGAACTTAAATTTAAAGGAGGGGACGGGAAGGTGTTGATAAAAAGTCTGTATGTGTGTAGGTAAGCTTCAGGCAAGGTAGGATCTAGGGGTTCAACCAAGATCTGCTGAATTCTATTTGTGTTTTTCATCTGGGTATTATTCACGATAACACAAACTTTATTTAGCCTACCAAGGAGGTGGCTGAACACAGCTGCACTTTACCTAGGCAATCCTACTCTTTGCATTCCCAGAGATTAAGCACCTTGTCCAAGGGGACACTATTTCTCTTGGCCAGACATAAAAGAGATAGTTGCACGCCAGGTAAAGGATGAACCCATATGCTGTATAAAAGCCACCATGATGCCTGCCATTTTCTTCCTCTTTTGTGCTGGTCTCCTCCTGTGAATGCAAGACTACCATCTTTGCCTCAGTTGCCCATCATAGGGCTACCTGCCGGGGGGGTGATGCCTTCTACCCACCCATATTCTCAGGCATCCCCAGTACTCTGAATTTCCATACATCCCATGCCTGCGTGACGAGACGGACTCTCTTGGTCTTTGGGGTTATACTTGATCACAAGGCTCAGAATATGTTGTTCATAATGTATGAATAGCTTAACCAATTTTCTTTTTGAAAATTGCTTGGAAGTGCTTAGGACCTTTTTTTTTTGCTTGAGGACTGACACCTCTTTCATGTCCCTAAACTGAAGATAACAAAGGCTCTCATGATGGCGATGCAAACATTTACACACACCCAGATAAGTACTCACCTACCCATCCACCAGTGAGACTCTACTATTGGACCAAGCCTACCTGCTGCATGCTTTCTTCATTTACGGTGAGTTATTTCCCATGAGGCTCCTCGGTCTGGCATGCAAATAAACTACTTACAGACAGCATAACTAGCCTCCCCAACATTTCCAAACCTTTCTGAATTACAGCAAGAGAACACAGTTAACAATGAAACTAGAACCATTGGGGTGTCTGTCTGATCGTCTCAGAAGTTTGTAGGTACTAGTTAAGATGCCATTCCCTAGAGATTCTCAATACCTTGAAAAATGGTGGGAATTCAGATACTATATTGCCTACCTTTGAGCACCTGGTTCCAGAACAAAAATAAGGTTTCTTAAGCCTGTCCTTGTTCCCCTAACTGACCTGCCCCTGAGCGAGAGCAGCTAGAAAAGGCAGCCCCCCTCTCTCCCTGGCCACAAAGCCCTGATGCACAGAGCTGTCCCTGGATGTCATTAAGAGAGGGGAAGTCAGTGGGAGGCATACAAGGAGACAGAGCAAGAACCAAGGTTCCAGACTCCAGTGGCTCCCACTCACTACACTCTCTGCAACTCACCCTCCCCACTCTGACCTCCTCATTTCCTCAAGTGCTGTCTCCTGGATGTGCTCCCAGGGCCATGACAAAT